GTCTGGCAGCATCTGTGGAGGAGAAAACAGCGTTAACGTTTTGGGTCCAGTGACGTTTCCTCAGAATTGAGAACCGTTCTGAGGAAGGGTCACCAGACCCAAAACGTTAACGCTGTTTTCTCCTCCACAGATGCTGCCAGACCTGCTGAGCTTTTCCAGCAACTTTGTTTTTGTTCCTGATTTACAGTATCCGCAGTTCTTTTGGTTTTTACTGATTAAGGAATGCTTTATACAGGAGGAAGGAGAGTGGTATTGAGGCAGATCAACCAAGATCATATACAATGGAGGAACAGACTCAAAAGGTGCTGGGATGGGGGGAGGGGGCAGTCTGGTCAACTTCTGTACCTATTAATAGGTCCTTATGTTTTTAAAATGTGCTGTTTTGCACCGTAGGATATCCATCCATATTCCTCTCAACGATACATTCATCAAAATAAAGTATCTGTCTCAGAACTTTTCCAAATGTTTGCACTGCATTTGAAGTACATTATTGTTGTGTCTGAGATTTTGAAATCAAGGTATGGATTGGGTGTAATTGTGGTCACCAGCCAACAAATACATTAGCATTCCACGTAGATATCCCAAGAAGATAGTATAGTGTCAAGTCAGCTTCCAAGAATAGGCTCTAAACTGATTGGCCCTCAGCTAAAACCAACCACTCATTTGAAGGCAAAAATACTGTCGGGTCAATGAAGGTCCCACCCCGTGGTTTGAGAACCAGCAGAGAACCTTCATCAAATGTAGGGAAGGCCAACAGCCTTTCAGACACTTAACTGACCACTATTGGACCAAATTTGTCATTAAGATTCTAGTGGTGGAAGTCTGGCAACCCAACAACAGAGATATAATTCCAAGTTTCAGAAATATTCATCTGGAACCTTTATAGATAGCACATTGAATGGGTGAGACAAGGAGCCATTTATCTTCATTGTATTTAGTTTACTTCAGAGGAATATGGTCAGATTTGTTCATCTATTTGGAGCACATTAAATGTGGAAGTAGCGAGAGTTCACTTTGGAGACGATGACTGGTTTCCACATTTTACCTAAACTATTTAAAACTAGTTTCCAATCTGGGACCTTTTTCCACTGGAGAATAGGAGGTTGAGGGGTGACTTTATAGAAGTTTATAAAATCATGAGGGGCACTGATATGGTGAATAGCTAAGGTCTTTTCCCTAGGGTGGAGGAGTATAAAACTAGGAGGCATATTTTTAAGGTGAGAGAAGATTTGAAAGGGATTTCAAGGGCAAAGTTTTCAGAGGGGGTTCGTATGTGAAATGAACTTCCAGAGGAAGTGGTAGATTCAGGTGCAGTTACAACATTTAGAAGACATTTGGACAGGTTGTGAATAGGAAAGGTTTAGAGATATGGGCTAAACGCGGGTCCATGAGACTAGATCAGTTTGGGAAACTTGGTTGGCATGGATGAGTTGGACTGAAGGGTCTGTTTCCATGCTGCATGACTCTATGAGAATTTACTAGCATTATTTTCTTCAGTGTTTCATTGTTTTTCAACACCAATCCCTTTCATTTCTGAAAGCAAGAAAAATAGGAGATACCCACAACGGATGCTTTCCCTACGTTACAACAGTGACTATCCTTCAAAAGTATGTCGATGGCAGCTAAGTACTTTAGGGATGTACTGAAATCATGAAAGGCATTATATGAATGCAATGGTGTTTAGGAGCAATTTAGGCTCAAGTGAACCATTAACCTGATAACACCAGATGACTTGTGTTTCCATTACAAATATGTAACATATAATTCTATGCATTGCTTTTTGAAAAACATACAGACTGATAGATGAAGAATCAGGGCAGTTGTTTGGCCTAATTTGAAAAACTGCCCAAGTTAGTTTGAAAATTTTAAGTGTATCCAATAATGTAATGGACCAGATGACACAGCTCATCTACAATCACAGTTCTTCAGTCATCATTACCACGTTATGTGAAATAAATTTACTCTTTTATTATGCTACATGATTAAAATTGGTATCTCTATAATTCTTATGATGTAAAACTTACCTCTACTGAGTATAAGCAGGATATAGAGAGCAGCTACCAATCCCACAACTCCTTGTATAGCTTCAGAATTGATGCATTCCATTAATTCGTTTAAAAATGATCTAAAGAGATGGGCAATAATTATTGCCAGCCATTTTCTGATATAAACAATGATTCAAACTGATTCAGCTACTTATACTGAGAATAGTCTGATTTTAAAACAGAGAAGATTTTTAAAAATATATATTCTCTATTTGACTAGAGCTTAATGTGTTCTCCACATTCAAGTAATGACTAGCATGTTTTCTTTAAAACAGTTCAAAGAAACCACAGAACATTACTTAAAATATTTGTTAGTTGGCACAGCAAATTGCAATTAAAGATGACAATACTGAATTTGACCCAAATATAACAAACAGCATCAAAACCTTTGCTGGTATTTATTAAGAGCGATCATAGCACAGTATAAACTCATCAATATATGATGGAATAAAAAGTAAATTGCTCTTTGAGCTACACTGTGGTTCAATCTAAACACTATTTGGATTGAGACTCTGCTCGTGTTCAATATTCTATAATATGCCATAACAATAAAAAAAAACATAGACAATACTCAGCAGAGCCTAATAAAAAATTCTGTTTCAGAAAGATTTTGTGGCAAACTGCAATCGACTCTTTGGTTTACACCCAAGGGAAGAGAGAGTCAAGAAGCAGAAGGGTTTTCTTCCTTTTACACGTGAGGCTTTTTTTTTAAAAAATGAAACTGTTTAGATAGACTTGTATTCTTTCAATTTGGAAAATATGATGTAATCTTGTCTCACAAATAAAATAATAATATTTCCTAGAAATTAAATAAAAAGACCACTGTTATTAGTTAACAGTTGCTAGTTAGCCATCAGTTACTCAATTTAATCTTACTTCATCACACCCGGATATTTTAATACAATGGCCAGAAAGTAGCTTGAAAGTAGTGGCAGATCATCAGTGGTCTCAGGTGGAACAACATCTTCTGGATCAGATTTCTGCAATTGAATATACACATTGCAGAATTAGACAAAATAATAAATTTATGAAGAATATATACCATGATTTCTGAAGTTCTAACAACCAAGCTTCCAAAATTTTTTCTTTTAACCAACTTATATATAATTTAGAAAATAACAGACATCTATGTTTAAAATATTGAGGTTTCTCCACTCATTCAAGAGGCGACAGATTTTTTAAAATTATACTGTATTTAAAAATATCTAGGAAGTTTGGTTGGAGTAACTATTGCTAAACTCTAGTCAAATAGAATAATCTATGGTCAAAAGATCCAATTAGAACATGTTGTTACATCAAGTGTTGAGGTTCATATTATTCAAGATTGTATCTTGAAGTAGCATACTCCATAGAGTTCATAATGCAAATTGGCTCATAATTCATAACAAAAATACTGATCAGTACACAACAGTTTTGCTAATTATGAAATTAGCATTAATAATCCTTTGATTGATAAACATAAAAAGTGACCTAGTTAGGTCAAATGGCATGTTTATGAATTATAATTTGCAGGAATTCATCATTCCATGCAACTGTCACATGTAAAAAAAAATCCAGGTAACATCCACTCCAAAACAGTTAACGAGAATGCTAGCCAGTTAGCAAGTTGAAACAATTTAATTAGTGCCTTATTTTTGAATCTCTCAGCTCTTCAGTCTGTAGTGCAGAAACATGTGTTACAATGACTCCTGCCCTTCTCAAATTATTGTAAATTTTGATAAATAATCACTCAGTCATATGAAATAAGGACAGGAAATCAGTGTTGAACGCACGTAGCCATTACTTACAAACAGTATGTTATATGCAGATGCCAGAAAACCTCAAGGGGAGATCAGTGTGTATTGGACTTGCTCCAAATCACATGACACTTCTGAACATGTACCCACAAAAAGTAGTTGACAATTCAACATGCATGACCCATCTCCAATAATTTTCAACATTATACTGACAATCAGAATGTCTGTAATTTCCAGGAAAATGCTTTTGTATAGATGGAAATCACTTAACTGTGGAACAGCAATAAATGTAGTTGTTTTTGCAGAGCATCAATTGAGAGACTACTTTATACTTCATAGGTAATGCAGCAACTTTCAATTAACATACATTTACTTCTAAAAATCAGACACCAGATAACCACTACCATCATTTGCAATAGTTACATTTTATTCAGCTTACACTGCTAGACAGCTCAACTCAATCAGAAAGATTAAGCATGACTTCGTGATGAATTATGGAGAAATGAACTACATCTGCCAAACAGCCCCTCTCTGTAGTACTCATTTGTGTGATGCATTGTGAGACATCATAAGCTCAATGAGACAGGCTATGAATAGTTGAATTGCTCAAATTTGCTAAAACATGGTAGATAAGTGATATGATAGTACAATGAACCATACTTTTCAAGCTCACCTTTTTTAAAGAATGAATTGTTTCAGCCAGCATTGCAGCCAAAAGTGTTGAAAGCATCTCTTGGTGAACTGCTTCATGGGTTCCATGCCAGGTTTGAACAGCACTGATGAATTCTCCAAGAATGGACTGAATAGACTGAAGAATCTTAAAAATAAAAGGAAAATGCCCCTTTTCTGTCGTATGAGTAGATAGTGAAACTCTTTGAAATATATCTTACAAAATGAAATTTGTTAAAGCAATACAAGTGACTAAAGAATAATTCCAAAGTTCAGAATGCTTACTTCATTCACTCATGGAATGCAAGTGCTCCTTGCAAGGCCAAATTAATTGCTCATCTATAAATACTCAAAGTAGACAATGAACCACTTTCTTGAATCGTGGCAGTGTAAGTACATCCAAAGGGTTGCTGAGGCAGCTATTTCATGACGTTGATCCAGTGACAGTGAAGGAACTCTGATATATTTCAACGTCAGGATAGTATGCAACTTAGAGGTTTATTTTGGTTTCTTCCAGGTGGTAAAGATCTTAGGTTTGGAAGGTGCTTTAGAAGGAGATAACAAGGTGTGGAGCTGGATGAACACTGCAGGCCAGGCAGCATCAGAGGAGCAGGAAAGCTGACGTTTCGGGTCTGGACCATTCTTCAGAAATGGGGGAGGGGAAGGGGGCTCAAATAAATAGAGCGAGGGGCAGGCGATGATAGAAGGTGGATAGTGGAGCAGATAGGTGGAGAGGAGATGGACAGGTCAAGGAGGCGGGATGAAGCCAGTAAAGGTGCATGTGGGTAGGGAGTTGGGATGGGGGTTGGTCAGTGAGGAGGGAGGGGCGGGTAGGTGGAGGGAAGACAGACAGGTCAAGGAGGCAGGGATGAGGCTAGTAGAGGTGAGGTGAGTATAGGTAGGAAGTGGGGGTAGGGGTTGGTCAGTGAGGTGGGAGGAGCAGATAGGTGGGAGAGAAGACAGACAGGTCAAGGAGGCGGGGACGAGAGGGGGCGGTTGGTCTTGGGATGAGGTTGGGGCTGGGGAGATTTTGAAGCTTGTAAAGTCCACATTGAGGCCATTGAGTTGTAGGGTTCCGAGGCGGAATACGAGGTGCTGTTCCTCCAGTTTTCGGGTGGCATCGTTGTGGCACTGGAGAAGGCCCAGGATGGAGTCTTGTAGATGATGCATACTGCTGTACTGTATGTCAGTAGGGGAGGGATTAATTGTTTACAAAAGGTGGTGTAAGGAATGCCAACCCACTTTGGATGCTAGCAAGTTTATTAGATGAGGACAGTTGTAACTGGCAATTAAAGAGTAGTCAAACACACTCCTGACTTGCGCTTGTAAATTTGTGGACAGGCTTTAAGGTGTGCTCAAACTTTGAGGGGTCAGGAAGGGAGTTAGTTGCCACAGATCATCAACCTCTGACCTGTACTGGATGTCACAGTACTTGTATGGCTGCTCCAGTTCAGTTACTGGTCAATGATACCAACCAAAGTGCAAAGGACAGTGAAGTAAGGAATAGTACTGCATTTGAATGTTAAAGGAAATGGTTAGAATCCCTCTTAATGATCATTGCTTGCCACTTGTATGGGATAAATGTATCTGCCACTTCTGAGCCCAGCCTGAATCGAACCTATTTCTTGCTGCATACAGTCACGGTCAGTTTCAGTATCTAAGGAATCGCAACACTGAACATTGAAACCGTGAGGTAGCGTCTTCATTTCTGACCTTATTTTGGTATGAAGGTCAGATGAAGCAACTGAAGATGGTTGGGGGCAGAATACTCCCATATGAGCCCCTATGCAACAATGCATAGCAACAATGTCTGGGACTCAGATAATCGACATCCAAAAAACACAATTAAGTTTGTTTGTGTGAGGTAAGACTCCAACCAAATAACTTTACCCATTTCCTTTGACTTAAATTTTGCTAGGATTCCTTGATGCCACTTGATCAAACGTGCCTGGATGTCATGGTCAGTCACTATCACCTTACTCTGGAATTTAGTTCTTTTATCATGTATGTACCAAGGTTGCACTAAACAGGGCAGAGCAGCCCTGCCAGAACTCATTTGAGCAGCAGTGAACAGTTTATTGCCGAGTAGGAGTTGCTTGATAGCACTTTTGATGACTTTACTGCCGTCACTTTATTGCAGATTCAGAGTAGAACTAATAAGCACCAACTGGGTAGCCTGAATACTGTCTATATCTTGCTGCATACAGGCATGGATAATTTCAATATCCAAGGACTTGCAACATGGAACACTGCAACCATCAACATGCCTCCTCATTTCCGATCTTATTTCAGAAGGAAGATCTGGTGAAGGGTATCCAACTGCACAAGTCACTCTGCCCTTACTCTTAGGGAGTCATGCAATTTTGACAAGTAGGTTTGTGAGGATAAATGAAAGTAGGCTTCACAATGGACACACCATAAGCACACCTTATAAAATCTGCAATTTGCTGCAAATATTCTCAGACTTTAAATTTAGTTCACTCAAGACATACAAGACATTTTTATTTTGGCCACCATACAGCTAAACTATATATATAAAACTATATTTATCGCTGAAGACTTGCATTCACATTTTAACAGATTATTTAAACAAATAGGTTGAAGATTAATTTTAAAGTTGTACCTGCAGGGTTTCTTCCTGGTTCTTCCTTGAACAACGAGCCAGAATTTCCAAAATTTTGTGGAACACTTTCTGGATAATGTCAAGTATTTTATTAGCTTTCTCACTGATACTGTAGATATTCTGAGATAGGCAGTTCACTGTAATTTCTTTCAGAATGGATATCAGTATTGGTAAACTGAAGACTCCTTTCTCTGAATGATGAACAAACAGTAAGAAAAGACAAACTATTCAAAACAGATTTTATAATAGAATTGTGATGCAGCAAAGTACCTCAAGCTATGGTCAGCTGGAGGAAGTGGTGTGGATATTAAAATACAAATGTCTACATAGGCATTATGTAGAGCAACTAAATAAGTCAACAAAGAGTACAATACATTGTGAGGAAGGGTCACCGGACCCGAAACGTTAACTCTGTTTTCTCCTTCACAGATGCCGCCAGACCTGCTGAGCTTATCCAGCAACTTTGTTTTTGTTCCTGATTTACAGCATCCGCAGTTCTTTTGGTTTTTATTTAGTATAATACATTGGCCAAGTATGTGGTCAGTTTTGACGTTAAAGGAACACCATAATTTTTTAAATAATTCATGTGCAAATAGAATAATATGCAATCAATGTAGAATATAGAAAATCCTGTTACTTAAGATATCATGATCCAAGATCAGAAAATTTTAGCCAAGATTGAATAATAAAAATAAAGCCAACCAGAAAATGTAATGCTAAATATTTAAAAGTGCCATACACTTTTCCTTTAGATCCCATTAACCACTTAGGAACACAGGAAATAAGACCAGGAACAGGTCACTTGGCTAGAGTCTACTCCATGAAGTTCAAAGATGAATCTTGACTTCAACTTCATTTTCCACTTAATCCCCATATCTCCGGATTTCCTCAGATGTCAAAAACGTATTGATCTCAGCCTCAATTCTACATGACAGCTAAGCATCCTTTTTTTTTTTTGGAGTGGAGAAAACCAAAAAGTTGCATCCCTTGATAAAATAAATTTCTCATGTCAGTCCAAATTGGCAGCTCCTTTTCCTATGAACCTTAGTTTCATTCTCTCCAACTTGGAGAAACAGCCACTTAACCTCTTAACCACATCAAGCCCTCAGAATCTTGTACCTTTCAAAGAGATCACCTCTCATTCTTCTCAACTCCAGAGAATATTGGACCATTCTACAGAATCGCTCCTTAAAAGGCAATCTCTTCATCTCAGGAATCAAATCCAGTGTACCATCCTCTTTAAAGAGGAATATATCCTTCCTTACTACTTAGACAAAAATATCACAATACTGCTGATGTGTTCTCTACGAAACCTTGAACAACTATAGCAAGACTTGCTTAGCCTTATACTTCAGCCCCCTTTAGTGATTTGAATAGAAAATAAATTGGACAACAATAATACAGGCAACCATTCACTATCATCTACTTTTCACCATTACCAAGGCCAATTTTACTTCCATAGCTTTAGTTAGAAAAAATAAAGCAGTAAACAGAGTTGGGAAGATCATCTGACATCATCTGAATGGATATCAGCATCTCAAATGATTTTACTTTACATTAGAGGTTTCTTATTCAAAAGTAATTTGTTACATGAATGAATTAGTAATATATTTTATCATGAAGTGAGAGTGGCAGTGATAATACCATACCAATGGATGAGTACCACTCTGGGGACAAAGTTTCAAATTCCACTATGGTAGTTGGTGGAATGAGCTAATAAAATTTGGAATGGAAAACTAGTATCGGTGATAAAAAAACTAATAGTTTGTCATAAAAATATCCGGTTCATTGACCTAGTCTGGGCTGCATATGACTCCAAACCCACAGCAACGCAACTGATTCTTAATAGACCTCTGGAATTGGCTAGCAAGAAACTAAGTTCAAGCAAAATTAACGATGAGCACTCTTTGCTGGCTTCATCAGTGTCATCCATTAAACAACAAAAGAACAAAGTTAGCTAATTCCAAGGGATCTTCCATTTTCATATCTACAAACACAATTAGAATACAAAGAAAGAAAGCTGATCAGCATTAGACCTTATAAGCTGTTTGTTGACAAGATGCATAGATAATATCAATAGAGCATGTCGAGAATTCCAAATTCTCTCCATTTGTGACTCATTGACAGGAAGATTGAACAATTAGTGACATAAGTGTGACAAAAAGAAATTCCACAAATGACACGATTTAATGTATGATAAATGGATTACCTGACTGCATTACAGCAAGGCCAAAGCCGAGTAACTGAGCTTGGAATTCTGCATCAGATACACCAACCATGACAATATCCTTACAAACTGAGAGATACACCTATACAAAGAAAATGTATCCTTAAGCTTATACTGGAATTTGCAAATGCCAAGAAATAAGAAAATCCACATCTTTAAACGCATTAGGCAGCAGGCTTAACTTAAGGTAACTAAGTTTATCTTCAAATATCTGGGTGAAAGGGTTAAGATTCATAATCTGAAATTCCAATAGTCTAAAAAGTGCAAAAGAATAGAGTGTGTTACCAATGCAAGAGACAGTTAATGTGCTGAGATCTATTTGCACATTCACAGGTGCACTTGCATGCATTTGCAATGAAGATTGGAATAAGAAAGGATACTTGACAGGCATTTTGGATGTGAGAGTGTAGCTAAAGCTTATCATGCATTCTGTAGGAAATTAATAAATGGTCAATCATGCATTGTTTCTTGTTCTGAAATTTGATGGAGCTGCAGTTCAGATGCCAGCATTTTTACCCTTGGTGGAAACCCTTGTTATTAGTAAATAGGTACCGCACAGATATAGAACAGATTTTTCTTTATGAATATTGTCATGAATAATCAGTTATTCCCATTAACTGGATTCTTTAAAATAATTGCAAGATACTACAGTTGTATTACGTCAGACAGAAGATGAGGCAAGTTGTTTGCCAAACATTGTTTTGCTGCTGCATACACGTTTCAGTTAACATTCCAACTTCATGCGTTATAGCATTGTCTCCACCTAGTGGTAGTACTGACAACAAACAGCCAAAAGTGCCAGGAAAATCTAAAGCAAGGTGATGATATTGATAGCTGGTTCTATTGAAAGAAGGACCAAAGGGAATGTTAGCTACTAAGATAAAAGTAGAATGACAACATACTTCTAAATTTTAAATAAAGGGAGAAGCCATCTGCATGTGTGCTTATTTAAGTATTTTCAGCAATTCACACCAATTCGGAAACTTAGATAGGCAGTACATTGGAACAGGAATTGGCCATTCAGCTACCCAAGCCTGTTCCACCATTCAATTAGATCATGGCTGATCTTATCCTAACTCCATATACTTGCCTTTGGTCCTTCATACCTCTGCTTAATAAAAATGTATCAATCTCAAGTTTAAAATTAACAATTGATCTAGCATCCACTGTTATTTGTGGAAGTGCTCCAAACCTCTACCTCCCTTTTGTGTAGAAGTGCTCCCTAACATCCCTCCTGAACACTCTGCCCTAATTCTCAGACTATACCCCGAGTTCTAGAATCTCCAAACAGTGGAAATAGTTTCTTTTTATCTACCCTGTGTTTTCTTGTTAATATCCTGAAGCTTTGATCGTATCATCCTTAAACATCTAAATTCTAGAGAAAACAAATTTAATTTCTATAATCTCTCCTCATAAACTAACCCCTCAAATCCGGCAATCATTCTTGTAAACCTACAATGTACTTCCTCCAAGGCCAAAATATCCTGCCTAAGGTGTGGAGCACAGATCTACTCAAAGTATTTCAAGTGGGGTCTTAACCAGGTAAAAAATAGATGTTACAATTTTTGTAATTACAACTGGTGAACATTAACATTTGAACACACTTAATCCCATTACTTACATCAACTATTTGTCTTGCAATCTCACCCTGATGCTCTGAAACCTCTATCTCCTTTCCTGGAATGTGCAGAAATTGCAACACAACTTCATCTATCCAGTCTGCATTACTTTCGAGATCCAAAAGATAAGTTCTACCATCTGCACAGAACTGAAAATAACAATCACAAAACAAAGCAATGTTTAATATTAGAGATAGTAGGAAGTGCAGATGCTGGAGAATCCGAGACAACAAGGTGCAGGGCTGGATGAACACAGCAGGCCAAGCAGCATCATAGGAGCAGAAAGGCTGACGTTTCGGGCCTAGACCCTTTTCTGATGAAGGGTCTAGGCCTGAAACGTCAGCCTTTCTGCTTGGCCTGCTGTGTTCATCCAGCCCTGCACCTTGTTGTCTCAA